CACCACACCACACCACACCACACCACACCACACCACACCACACCACACCACACCACACCTCACCACACCACACCACACCACACCACACTAAACTACACCACACCACACGACATCACATTTCGCCATCCTATACTTTTTCCGCAGAATACTGAAACGCGACACAAAAGCATATTAGTATCAGTCTCTTTGGCAAAACTAAATAGTAACGACTACAACAACAAGAACAATGATAATTATTATTATTATAATAATAGATTAAAATTTGTAACGCTATACCACATACAATTATAAGCTCTGAGCGCTTTACACTGATCACGTGATTACTGAGAGTAAACCCTCATACACATAAGAATTTTTTTTTTCAAATAAACAAGAGAACCAGTTCAACAACAATAAGAAGAACTTTTTTAGCCATATCATTACCTTAGAATTACAAAATTATATCTGTTCAGTATCTAGTTTTCAGAAATTTGACGTCAAAATGTTTGAGTTTCACATCATGTCAAGCTTTTACGAATGGAATTCTTTGAATATATTGATAAGGACTACTAATAATCATACGATTTTGATAGAGCATGTAGAACAATTCGTTACTGACCTCTTGGTCGCAGTAGCGCAAAAAGGTCGAAAATATCAAATAAAACTGTAATTCTGAGGTAGCGAAAACTAATTACAAACAGAGTCACACAGTCCCTGCCTCCAGCAGCCCCGAGTAATTTTAGTTCAGGACCCCCTGCTCTAATTCGTCCACCCCTGGTTCCCCTGTCCACAGATCTACGCCATCGTGACGTCAGGCGGCAATCCGGTCATCGCCAGTACCGGCATCTTGGTGGATCAGACCAACTGTAGACGTTTCGTCTTCGATGACCGCAAGGAGATCTACTACAGGGGCGAGGTCCAAAACAGGGTCTACAAACGGGAGCTGGTGGAGGTGAGGGGGTCTGGGTCCGACGCCATTTCTTGTACATTCTGTGGAGTTATTTTTGTTGTTGTTTTTGTTGTTACTGGGGTTGTTTTTTGTGGTTTTTTTGCTGTTATTGTTGTTGTTTTGCTTTTGTTTGTTTGTTGTTGTTTTTTGTATGTTTTTTTTTGTTTTGGGGGGGGGGGGTCTTTTAATTGTAAAAGGTGATTAGAGATAAATGGTGGGTTCTCCATGTACTTCTATTTTCCCTCTTATAGTTTTGTATCTGTGTCTTACGCTTTCTTAGCATGAGATGACCAGTACCATTCAAATTTGCTTCTCTTTACCCCAAACCCATACTCAAACCCACATTTGTAAATTACATTTCACGCCCCCATCGACACTAATTTAGATCATAATTTAAGAGACGGGCTACTTTCACCTTGCCTGTCATGTCCCACTTGATGTGAATGGGATACAGGGTCCCAACAGACAGACGGAAACACGTATTAGAAAAAAATCTCTTCTCAGAAGTTGAACTCTCGCCTTCTTTGGGCTACGGCGAAGAGTACATACTCTAGGGTATCGAATAAAAAGGGGGGGGGG